GGGGGGTGGATCCCCTGATGTCAGATTTAAGCAGAGTGTTATACTCACCCGAGTGAATATTATTCACCATCTTGACAATCCTGTTCATTTCCCGTCTTCCATTCACAGGCCCCAAGTGGATATCAGGTATATGTGTTATCGTAAGTCCTTCTAAATTGTCGGGCAAGTCCTTCACAGATATTGTTGTATTCGTTATGGTGGGAAGTTTTCTGGTATTGTAAAACCCATACATACTGAATGTTACGGCATATATGATTGCCATGATAACTGCCGCTCTGTGTCTTAGTGTCTGCTCAGAAACTAGTTTCACAAAGAAATTCAAAATTGTGACTAGTACAAGTCCTGTGGCCATTTGAACATGAAATCCAAGCATGAAGTAAGATACAACACTGTACATATGAGGATTGGTCTGGACAAAGAATACATTACTTATGTAACTTCCATGGGCTAGGAAAAAATATACCAAAATTATTAATTTCCAAAACCGCCCACCTGTGTCACTTCGAAACCTACTTTCAGAGTTTCTGTCAAGATTTTTGGGCGACTTCTTCTTTAAGGAGAAAATGTTTTTTGTATTTCTCCAAACAAAATATGAGACACAGCCAAGTACTGATTGAATAAATACAATGAACTCTGCCCTTATTATCCGCCCTTTCAAGGAGTAGTCAGTCAAGGACATCACCCACTTGTTGAAGTAATACACAATAATTACTAATATTGTGAGCCCCAACGTTCCTGCCCATATATATCTCATGACGTTCGGCATCTTGCGTTTAGCTTGTACCTCCTTCCCTCGGTTACAGCACCCGATATCGATCATATAGTTATATAGAATTATACACGCTTTTCTATACAGTTCACTGAAGGGATCCTTGAACGCGACCGGCGATGCCGTTTACATCATTTAAAAATATATATTAAAAAGGCAATTTATTTCTTATGTACACATTAAATTTGTATTCATATTGCTTTTGATTATATTTAATGAATATTGTTAACAATCTTTCTTCCTTAAACATTTCAATACATTGCATATCAGTGCGTAAGCTGACAAAGTGAAAGTAGAATTATTTTCTTAATACCTAAGCGACATTCAACCACTACCACATCATCAACAAAAGCATGTGAGTGTAAAATGAATGTAAAAAACGGTTTTAAATGTTTGTAGGCAACCAGAATTTCTTCGTATTCATCAAATGGGAAATATGTAGGAAATGGAATAATATTTGTTACAATGATGTGATATCATTCATGCAGATGCCAGTCAGGTGCAGTAATCATCCAAGTCCAATATTATAATATATACGTTAGTGCAGGCAAATTCGCCATGTACATAAAATTCGACACCCTGTGATGAAAATGCCAAATGACGTCATAATACATAAGTTGTGACGTAAATAACGTCACCATAGTCTTCAACACAGTTAAAGCCTTCAAATATTTGTTCACAAATATTTTGACAAGAAGAGGTAAAGTTGTGTGACCGCACAACGCACAAAAATACTGAGCATACATCGTCCACACACCGTCCGCACATCGTCCACACATGGTGCGCGCAACTGGGTGATTTAGCAGTCATTCACCCCGTTGTGCGCTTCTCTCCGCACAACTGTGCGATTTGGTACAATTTGTTGATCAATATTACAGAATGAAAAAAATACGGAAGGCTAGCTCATATGCAATAATGTACACTGTATATATTACTGCAATTTCTCATCACAATAATTAAGATAACATACAATTTTACAATGTGTGTAACACAGTATACAGTGGCCGTTAGACTGTCAAGAATGGATTTGGTTCCTAGCTAAGTAACAGAACAGGTAAATAGCAATTTGATGATTGACCGGAGTTTTACCTGACCAGTGCCTGACACATAGAGCTGCTATGTCATACCGTATGACCGTTATGAAAACATGCACAGCTGGGCGGGCGGGGGAAAACTATGGCCCAGGTAAAAAGTGGCTAAAGTAACATGTTTACCTGTATTGCCGAGATTGTGTTGTAATTTTACATGTGTCGATTAAGGTTGTTTAAAAACCACCGAAAACACCATTTCTGAATTTTAGAAAGTATAGACAGAAAGATAAGCTTTTAGATGTAGCAATCAAGTGTATATGTTTAAACACGAAACCGTATATATTGTTAAGCCATTCCTTAATTTACACCAACCACGATTGTTATCGCCCAACGTTCGTCGATCGTCCGCACAAATGTGCGCAAGCAATGATCGTCCAATTTTTTATCTTCGCACTTCGTGCACACATCGATCACACTCCGTGAACACATTGTGCGCACACCGCACATCGTGTTACCTTGTGCGATCCCACAATTGTATAAGAAAGGAAAAGAAATGCAATTTGTGTTATTGTGGGACGAATATTTTGTCATCTAAACTAATCTAAACTGATGGTTTTGAATTATTTTAAATGCATTACATACAAATTGAAAATACTCATATCTCAACGCTAAATTGCTGTTTTATGAATTGTTTTTCTACTGAAGACCCAATGCTTGTTTATGGAAATGATGCCCGGAGAGATTTTCCATTTTCATACAATAGAAAACAATCAACCAGTATCTTTTTAAAAGTTTTGTTTGCGTTTAACATTCAGCCATCTATAAATACAACACTTAAATCAAAATTCCATCTGGAAATTTTCTAGATTTATATAAATACCTGGAAAGAATTTGTTGTCAGGCTGAAAGTACTGCTGTACAATCACGCTATGATTGTACATAGAGACCGACAACAAGCGTTGTTAACCAAAGACTGATTTTTTAAATGAAAAAGTAAGTACATTTACAACACCTGGGGCAGTCCCTGTTGAATCAGTTTTCCAAAAAAGCAAGTAATTTCATTTTATTGTCAGATGTTTTCCGTTGATGTGTAAGACAATCAGAGATATACATGTGACAAATTATGCAAAAGTCGGGGGGAAAAGATGACCGTTGAAAGCCCTGGAGCCTCTCATCCAGACCCAATTGAAAAAAAATAAGTTTGGACACCGATTTGGAAGTTTATATATGTTCATGACTGAGTCTTTATTGCGATGCATGTAAATTGACCTCATCTTAGCCAATATATCCCAGCCATCTTACTCAAACAGCATTAACCAGTTTCTTTAAGTTGTCGAAATTGAACTATCACAACAAAAAAACCCATTTATTTCAATGTTAATCATTGTTACTCACACACATTTGGAGCTGTTCGTATCAGTACAACTTGTGTAACGTAAACATACATTACTTGCAAATTAGTGAAATGTTTGAAAGTGGTGAAACTGCCTGCACCTTTGAGCAAAACCACGGAAGGCCTGATGACATCACAAATATTGCTGTACTGGTGCTTGTTTCCGTTTTGATACATGCGTAGTTGGTCGAATTATTAACTGAAACCCTTACTATTGTGATGCCTTCACTAACGTTGCATGTATAACATTAGTATATTTAGAAAAGTTTTAATGTTATTCAAAAATTACTGGCCCCCCAAAAGAAGCGTTACATTATTGTATTGATAGTATTTCATCAATGTATTGAAAATGCTGTAATTCACACTGTCAAAATCAATATCAATATCTGTTGTACACTATATAAAATAAATAGACTTCAGTTTCATTTAAATGTGTCCATGAAACAACTCCAGAGGTATTTATTTAGCATACGTAAAAATCAAGTTCAAAGAATCAGTATTGTATGAAAGAACCCCTGGAATTGACCACTGCCTGTAAAGTTAAACAACGATGTTGCATGGAAGTGATGAGACGGTTCCTAGATCTCATCAGGATCTTCCCCCACTCTTCCTGTAAGGCCATCCTCAACTACATTGTAGCTGGTGCAACGTTTGAGGCTGCTGACGTCAATATCTCACTCTCCTGTCCACCTGAGCTCAGAGATGCTCAGCGGGCTTAAGGTCTGTGGAAAGCAATGGCCTTTCAATACTGAACTCCACCCTGTATCATGAATGCCAGTCGCCCGTCCATGGCTAACTTCATCAAGCTGTGGTATGACTGATTTGGCTTGGACACCGAAAACGATAATGACTAATACAGTGACCCCATAGAAAGAAAAACAAGTTTGTGCACTGTGTATACAAAGTACACAAACTTGTTTTTCTTTCTATGGGGTCACTGTATTAGTCATTATCGTTTTTGGTGTCCAAGCCAAATCAGTCATACAAAAAACATGTGTTAATCAAGCACAATGCTTCGCTTCACTGATTTTGTCTGTGTTTGTTTGTATATATATATATATATATATATACATTGTGGCATTAAATGAAATTAGTTGATTTATAATTATATGAGCAACTTTGATTGAGTAAACTTTTCTTAATTGCTTTTTAGGTTTTGAGTTATTAGTGACTACCATCAGAGAGGACCAGTACGTCTATACACCTTTATGTTAGACCTGTGTAAGTTCCTAAACAGTGAGGGTCTGGCCTTACCTGACTACACCCCTTCACAGACACATCTGTTAGACATATACCTGTGTAAGTCCCTAAACAGTGAGGGTCCGGCCTTACCTGACTACACCCCTTCACAGACACATCTGTTAGACACATACCTGTGTAAGTCCCTAAACAGTGAGGGCCTTACCTGACTACACCCCTTTACAGACACATCTGTTAGACACATACCTGTGTAAGTCCCTAAACAGTGAGGGGTCCGGCCTTACCTGACTACACCCCTTCACAGACACATCTGTTAGAGACATACCTGTGGAAGTCCCTAAACAGTGAGGGGTCCGGCCTTACCTGACTACACCCCTTCACAGACACATCTGTTAGACACATACCTGTGGAAGTCTCTAAACAGTGAGGGGTCCGGCCTTACCTGACTACACCCCTTTACAGACACATCTAACACGATGGGCAAGAAAGACACACAGGCCAACCGTGGAGCCCAAGTGGACATGTACCGCAAACAAATAGGTGAGTCCGGGTCATAATTACGGTCAAATGTCAAGGTCAGTGCTTTGTTAACATTGCATACCTTCATTTATGTTAAATTAATCTGATTGTAGCACGTAGGATCCATCTATCAACTTTAGTTTGAAAAAGAACTAACAGTTTAAAAGTCAGAAGGGCTTTTGATTAACTATATCTAAATTTTATATGAAATATCCCTTTGACCAGGTATTAACAGCTAAATTTTATATGAAGTATCCCTTTGGTCATAATAGTTTAGTTTCAGTATGTGGATGTAAATTGTATATTAAGTATCCCTTTAACCAGGTCACTGGTGTAAACAGCTTAATTTTATGTGAAGTATCCCTTTGGTCAGAATAGTTTAGTTTCAGTATGTGGATGTAAATTTAGTATGAAGTATCCCTTTGGCCAGGATAGTTAAGTTTCAGTATGTGGATGTGAATGGCCCCATGTGAGCAGAAGGATGCCATAGGACCCAAAAGGAGATATACTAGCAAAATGTTAACAGTCTGGATGGACCCATTTTGACCAAGTGTGGTTTCAATCATCCCTTGGCCATGAAGATTCCATTTTACATAAAGTAAACTTTACACTGGGGATAGATGATTGGGGCTCCATTGGGGGAAATTTGAGTAAGACTTAAAAGATTACTCCTGCTGGCTGGGGTCCCAGATTTTATCTTAATTTAACATGAAGCATCATTGGGCCAAGATAATTTGTTCTGTGTAAATTAAGGTGGTGCCTACACTGGGAGCATAGGGGCAGGGTGCAATGGTGTAAATTAAGGTGGTGCCTACACTGGGAACATAGGGGCAGGGTGCAATGGTGTAAATTAAGGTGTGCCTACACTGGGAACATAGGGGTCGGGTGCAATAGGTGTTTGATTGCTTAAATTTCCTTTGTGAATGTTTTATTGAGTTGCAGGTCTATCCAAGAAAATGTGAAGTGCTTGAAGAATACTTCATTTGTTAGTGAAACTAGACCTTAAACATTCTTTCTTTGTTACAGGTAAACAAGATTACAAGAAGAGTAAGAATGAAGTGAAGAAAAGCAAAGACCGGGCCGGCAAGATCCAGTCTGCTATGGGCATCAAGGTGGGTTCACAGGAGTTAGTTTGTGTAAAATATAATGGTGTTTATTGGGCTTTAATTAGCCTAGCTGCTGATGAAACTCCCTTTCAATCGTTTAGATAATTAAGTGAAAACTTCAACATTTTGGATTCCAACATTGCTGATGAAATGTTATTTATAAAAAGATGAATGTCTAGCAGATGCACTAAGTTTGATATTTCTTAATTAAAGTTGAAAGAAATGACAGAAGTTTAAGGGACAATAGATTTGCAAACGAAAGCTCCATTGAGACTTGATTTGCCTGTTGGAGATATTCTGGACACGTATATTTTACGTAATGATAAACAACACTTTATGTGTACAATACCTAGTATTGAACATCTCATGTGGGTCTAACATAAAAAACTATAAAAGCTATCTTACTTGAGTCTTCAGTATAAGATTCTAACCCCGGTACTGTTTCCAGAATAAAGATCTTAACCTGAGGTCGTAATCTGTAACTGACTGTCTTGGGAAATTGACGACTGAAATGCTTTTAAATATTTGATATGAAACATGATCACAAGTGCCACATACAGTATTGTACGGGATATGTTTACCATCCTAGTAGAACTCTGGGCTGGTTCTAGTTTTCTTTCCTTTGTTTTTGCTTCTTCTTTGTTTCTGTAAAACTTTTGACGTTTCACTTTCATTTCTAATGCTGTCCTTGTCTGTTGATGCTGTGTTTGGTATTGACAGGATGTGGTGCTCTTGCTGACTGGGTTCCTGTTGGTAATCGTAGCTGTATATGTGATTCTGTATGTGAGTCTGGACCAGGGCGGGACAGGACAAACAGAGGTTTAGACTGATGTTAGAAACACAGCATTGCAATACTGGGCATTACGAGTACTGTCTGACAGACATTATCATGTGTAATCCATCTTGTCACAAAAAAAAATGATAACTTTATTGAATACATGTACTGAACATTCCATTAAATGAATGTTTGATCAGTGAAGATCTGGATCATTGTTTGATCAGTGAAGTTCTGGATCAATGATGTGAAATATATAGAATCATTTTCTAGCCATGATATACCATAGCCAAAACTTGATTGTTCTCATCTAAAAACTTTAGGTTTATAGTTGAAATTTCTTTATGACAGTTTTGCATTGCAAATATATTAAAATATATGTACAAGTACTAACTAAACATCTAACAATGAAAAAAAAACGGTTTCAAAAAGCCAAATTTACATTTTGATAAATGAATTAATGTATAAGTAACATTTTAAAGTTTATGTAGAAAGTTCACTGAAGAGAAGTCAGACTATTCAAAAAGCAAACCATTGTAGAATTATGTTTGATCATATAATAAACATAATTGGTCACATGACATACCTAATTGGTCACATGCTATTAGGATACTAATTGGTCACATGGCATTAATTGGTAACACGATATATACAGGGGCATGTGTACACATGAGATGTGTAGGGCTTGCTACATGTATAAGTTATCTCAACTCCAAATCTGTCTCAGCAGAAGCTACCTGTAATACAGGGAGTATGATTAGAAATGCATGGATAAAAAACAGGTGTGCTATCCAACTTGTACACACTTGTACCTTTTATGCAACTGAGTAGAAGAATCTGTAAAAGCTCGGTGATCTTGTTTTCTTATTTCTCTGATAATATATTTGTTATAACTAAGTTTGCTTATTGAATACAACACGTGCTAATATAAACTAGCCATGTACTGTATGATGATAGAGTCGCTATCACATTACAGCTCAATTTCAATGCCAAAGGAATTGTAAGAATGCAGAAACACCAGTTAATTGTACATGTATAATGTATCCCATTTCATCAGGGGTGTCTTTTGGCGACATGGTCGTGTGACTGATAACATGACAGGATTACAAAGATAGTGTCGGACAAATGTAAAAAGGGCAGTTAAAAATGTCATTTACCGATTTTGACATATATTAAGATGCAATTATGTGAGGGGAAAATTACAACATTGGTTAAAAAGTGTTTGCAAGAAATATGTATAGTCATCAGTAGTCAAATAAAAGAGTCATTTCCGAGATATCATATAAAGACGTGAAATTATCAAAAGTTTATTTGTTGTTTATAGTGCATTTTTTACTTTTATCATGTCCTTTTTTTGTAAATTTAATATTCTGAACCAATCGAAAACATGCTGTGGTTAATAATTCAAGGAGACCATGCATTGATAATAAAATCTTAAGATGTGCATTTCAAAATGATATGTTTATCCATATGAAAGATGAATGCATTATCAAAAACCTTTGAAACCAAGTCCTACAGGGTAATAATATACAATTATGGTCTTCAGGTGAGGTCTATCCCTGATTTACGGACCTGGTCTGAACAATATTTACAGAGGCCGAAGGCCGAGGTGAATATTGTTCAGACCAGGTCCATAAATCAGGGATAGACCGAAACTTAAGTCCACAATTGTTTTATTATATGACATTTTACAATAAGATTAATACTTTTTCATGTCATAAACACATGGATGGCATGGACCATTTTGGAATCACAGAGTGAAGGACTTCAAATACAAAATAACATACACAAAAATTGAAGTTCAGATTCAATTCATGTGATATTTAATTTCAAGTAAATATTATTTGAACAATAATTTGAACTGTAGTTGAATTCAATAGTGTGAATGGTAACAGATTTAAAGACTGTCTGGGAAATTACCACAAACTGTTTTTAGTAGCGGTCTGTAACACTTTTCTATATATAGGTCGAGGTCTGTAACACTTTTCTATTTATAGAACGAGATCTGTAACATATTTACAGACTCGTCACGTGACGTCGCTCCTCCAATCAGGGCTGGGAATTAGCACCAGTCATATAATAACATGTAGTCCTACAGGGTAATAACATGTAGTCCGAAATAACTGACTGTCTTTTTTTATTTTTTTCTGATACATAAAGAAAAAACTTAAAAGGAAACAGTCTGTTATTTCAGACCACTGTGTAATTTGGTAAACTTTTTGTCATTAGACCCCATCTCTTTGACACAGCAAGGCTAATTGAACACAAAAAACCCATTACATACACACTATCTATTAATTGGAATACTGCACTGTCATCTTAGTTCTTCCTGTTCCTGTTGTGGAGATGGTGTGAGATTTTCATTCCTGAAACATATTTCATTCTTTGTTCAATTGGTAGCGCACAAATAACATTGTTTTGGTGCACGAGAACAACCAACATACATGTACATGTATCTAGACACAAATAACACATTTCCAAAACTGAGACAAAACTTTTTCTGCATAAAAATTACATAAATACATGTTAGAACTGCTTTTAATTGTTTGGTTTTGGTTAAATGTAATATTTTGGTTTTGTATGAGTGATTGGAGAAACAAATGTGTCTTATATATGTAAATATAGAAAAAGGTAGACCTATTTTGTTCTTTTTTAGGTCACCTGAGACAAAGTCTCAAGTGACCTATTCTAATTGCCTTTTGTCCGTCATCCGTCGTGTGTCCGTAAACAATTTACATGTTTGACTTCTTCTCAGAAACCGCTGATCCGATTTCAATAAAATTTTGCAGGAACCTTCCATGTTCACATATGCACCAAAATTGTGAATTATATGGTTCCCATCTCCAGGGTCTCTGAGGGGTTTCCAGCATATCTGGGTCTGGAGACGAAGATTTTAAAAATTTACGCCAATTTGAACACTTTTAGTATTTTTTTCCTTTTCAATTAGAAATAATTCAAACTTGATTGGAATTTAACCATGAGTTTGATACTCTGAGGTAAATATGATATTGATATTGATGTTGATGCATTTTTAAAATATTGATATCTTTGGAACCATTTTTCTGCAAATATTGATAAATACAAATTATTCTTGTCACTATGTTTTGGTCTCATCAAGTTTATTGGATAGTCTTAATGACATTAGGTAATCATTACGTCAGTATATTTTTATCAGATACATTATCTTTTGTATTGAAGTTATTTCGTAAAAAAAAAATGTTTAAAAAGTAGAGTGGACGGCGGGATTAGAACTTGCCATCACAAACCGGAAGTTGTTTCGCCAGCGTGTTGCATTATGGGATCCGTAACAGATTTTACATAAAACTCAGGTGACCGTTATATATATAATTAAGGCTCATGGGCCTCTTGTTTTTATATTTTGGTTACATCATTACAAAAGGTATGTATTTGTGTGGAGGGTTTCTGGGTGATGATTACTGTCCACAGATCCAGACATTATTGGTTACATACATTTATGTATATCTGTGTGCTGTGTTAACCGTTAAAAGAAATCATATATTTCCATGGTGATAGTTTTTATTACATTTGCCTTTGCTTTATCCTGTAGTTAACATTTGTAATAGGATGTGAATTAAACTGTTAAGTTTTCCTCCTTTGTCTTTTATTTGTTTGTCAGATGTGCACCTCTTTTGCAAATGATTGCAGTCAATGGCCAATTGATCTGCTTAGGACATTTTTTTCCCTTTTGATAGAGTAGCGGACTGGTTCACAGGTCCAAATATCACATCTTCCGTGAGATAGTCGAGTGCTGACGGACAAACTTATAACACAGGGTTTCTAATGATATTTGGATGATAGCTTTGTTGGTAAGAGTTCATCAAAGTTTCCGAACAAAAAAACCCTTTGAGAAACAAATGACCTTTACCTGCTATCAAGGTCATAGGGGTCAAATATGTCAAACAATTCAAACGAATTTTCTGGAGAATTGAAACAAAATAGAATCTTAATACTGGTCTGGTAGCTTCTAGGGATTGAGCTTGCGAATGAACACTACCTTGACCCACTTTCAAGGTCACAAGGGTCAAACTTTTCAAAAAACTTCTTCTGAATAATCAAAATGCATAGAATCATATTATTTGTCTATTTGCTTCTTGAGATTGAGCCCGACTATGTTTGCGAATGAAAATGACCTCAAACTGCTTTCAAGGTCATGGGTAAAGGCATAGAATTATATTATTAGACTGGTAACTGTCACAGATGGAGCCCGACAAAGTTTGCTATCGAAAATTACCTCAACCTACTCCCAAGGTCACAGGGGGCATATATAGTAAACAGAATAAGGTATGGAGTCGTGATATTTAACAAGTAGTTACCTTAGATGGAGCCAAACAAAGTGTGTGAATGAAAATGACCTTTACCTACTATATCATATAGATTTATCTTAATCTAATTTGATATGGAGTATCCTTGGCCCAACATGATTCAATGTTGTAGAAACCATGCCCCCATCCCAATGGGGACAGGAGAATGGGACCCAATAAGGTAAGGGTGTTACTCAGAAATAAAGCCAATATTTAGAAATATTTGTAGTACAGTGTAATATTTATTTAATATATTGCTATGACTGCTTAAATATCCAGTTGAGCAATACAGGCCCTCTGTGTCTCTTGTTCTTTTATAGAACCAAATTATTCTCAAGCATGTACACTTTGGACATCATTACAAAGCCTGCTAGTGTATGATGTATTTACATGTCAGGTACATATGTAATATCGGTGATACCAGTATAGTAGCAATAGAAGGCAGTATTACAGCTTATATAAAACAATCTTACTTGTCACATTATGTAATATAACCTACATACATGCTAGCTAATGGTGATACCAGTATAGTAGTAATAG